CAAATAAAGGAAAAACCAAAATACATTTCCCTTTGTCAGAATCCGGAGAGGGTGAGTCGGGCGAGAGTCATTCGCTATTGTGTTCTGGGGCCCACACTGCTCCTTACATAAGCTGTGAGTTAAAAATACGCACGGAATTCTAATTTGCCTGCTCTGCCTGGGATCACACCCGGGTCCCCCACCCCTTGGTGGGCAGGGGCGGGGCAGGCCCCCTCCCCAGCACCCATGGAGACCATCCATCCGGAGGCCAGTATCCCCTACTGGCAGTCTGAGCTCTGATGCCTCCGGGGCCCTGGGCTCTTGAAGAATAGTGAGTGTAATAATCCTAGGAGCAGCTAACCTTTTGGGGAGGCTCATGTGCTAAAGTCTTTACCCCGAGTTATCTCGATTAATCCTCTCAGAAGCCTGTGAACTTGGTTCCCATTTTATGGCACAGGTTAACACCTTGCTCAGCCCACACCCTGGATTAGCACCCAGGGAGCCCTTGATCTGGGCGTTAGTTGGAGGCCACCCTGACCTCCACAGCCCCCTCCCCCATGCCTCCGGCCTTCCATATGGTGGGCGAGGGGGCGGGGACAGGAGGTAGCCAGGCAGAAGTCCCCGTTCTGAGGGTTCAGGACAGAGCGTAAGTAGTACTGTATTACCAATCCCTGCCCTGGGTGGGGTGGGGAGTGGGAGAGGGGCTGCCCTCACCCGGCTCACGACCCCCGAGCCACGTGCCTCGTCCAAACTGGAACCCAGTCCTGGGGATACTGAGTGCAGAGCAAGACGGCGACAAAGGCAATTTTGCTGGCTTGAAAGAAGAAAACACCCAGCCCCTGCCTGCCGGGGTGACACCCCGGAAGTGAAATGAACAACGAAGTGTCCCCGGGTACACAAAGGCACGGCTTTTGCCCTCTCCCTTGAACCCTGGCAAAAGGGTTGTTGGCCATGCGGAGCCCTGCGGGTCCCCCACTCAGGTGGGGAGGTCGCTGTGTGCCAGGCAGCGTGCTCAAAAGGCTTTTCCACGGGTCATTTCACTTAGTCCCCGTAACCGCCCCATGACCACCAGTCCTGCTGCCCTGTCTTCCGGGGCTGAGGTTCTGGGAGCTCAAGTGATGCTCGCAGAAAGCCTGTGCTCCGCAGCTGGTGGGCGCTGGCGCTGCGGCCCTGCAAGGGGCGCCACATCAGTTACTCGTGAGGTCGTCTCTTGGGCACCGGCTCAGGCCCTCTCCTTCCCTTCGCGGAATTTGCTGACCCCTGTTGCAGCTTGAGGAGGGCAGAAGGCAGAATCCGACGTGGTCTCATGTACATGGCGGGGTGGGCCCAAGGACACCGGTTTCTCGATACCGTGGTCCCATGTTGGTGGCAAAAATGACCAAGTCACGTGCTGCATCGTCAAGGGAGGGGAGCTGAGGAGGGGCTGGAGAGACCAGCTTGGATTTGTGTCTGCGCGTGAAGGGTGCCCAGCATCCCAGCTCCGCGCCTGTGCCCGGGGACTCAGGTGGTCTGACCTGGCCGGGAGTGGGATGTCCTTGGAAACTGCCTGCGGCCCTTTCTTGCTGGGCGGGCATGACATTGGGTCCTGTGACCCAGAAGCTCATCACCTTGTCCCCTGTGCTGTCTGCACAAAGTGAGCACATTCAGGGTGATGTGTTTTAAGTTGATGACACCCCCTGTCTGGAGGATCGACACCCCCCCCCCCGCCACGTGCACATCCCCTCTTTCTCTTGTATGGTCTCCCTGAGCCTCTCTGAGATGGACCTGCCAGGAATCACTATCTCCAAGTCACAGATGGAGAAACTAAGGCTCTGCACATGGGGCCCGCTGCCCAGGTGTAGGGGATCTGGGATTCCACCTCAGCCCCGCCCTCGAGGGTCTGGGACTGAAAGGATTAATCCTAGCTGGTGGTCTGGCTGCAGGTGACCCCTGGGCAGTCGTATGCCCTCTGGGGCTCAGTCTTCCCATCTGTCAAATAGGGGCGAGGGCCACTTCACAGCCTACAGGTCCCAACCGAGCACCTCCTGTGATGGGGTGCTGTGGCAAACAGACAGACCTCCTCCCCTCTGCAGCCAGTCTGACGGGGGAGGCCGATAGCTAACACGTGGAAAATGTGACACTCTGCATGGGTTTCCGCGGTGCGCTGAGTCTCCCCTGACCGGCAACTCCGCGAGGGGTGGTTGTACCTCTGGGTCCCGGCCTGGGGGCCAGCATGCCTGCCACCCCAGGGAGCGGGGAACGAGGGCCTCTCTCGAGCAGGGGCAGGCCCCGACTTGTGGCGGCTTCCGCGGGACGCCGCCACTCAGCAGCCCGGGGGGAGCGGCAGACCTCGGGCGTGCTGGGTCCCCCCAGCTGGAATGAATCCGGAGGGAGGATGCGTTTGGTCATGCTTTGGGGTTTGTCAGGAGCTGAAGAAGAATATTCTCTCTTAAAAATATTCCGCGTGGATACCAGACTCCCTTGCTGGTCTGAGGCAGAGGCTGGGGAATCCTGTGCCCGTACTCTGTGACATTGGGCAAGCCCCTCGCCCTCTCTGGGCCCCAGGTGGGGAGAAGGGGCAGCCAGCTGCTGGGCCTGCGGGGGGACGGGATGAGATCATACATGGACAGGCTGGGCTGTGTGCCTGACACTCCCTCGTAAACCCTCCCCCGTAAGAACGGCTGTCTCTGGCATGGGCGCACCTCATACTGACGAGTCGTCCATAACTTGGGAACAGAGTGTCTCTAGGGAATTTGACCATTTGGGTCAGTCTGGAAACATCGCTGGGCAAACCCAGCTTCCAGAAGGGTTCCCAGGCCTCCGGTGTCTGAGCAAGGGACTTGGGAAATGTTCCTTTATCATGCAGCCTCAGGGGAAGGGAGCTGGGTGTCAGGGCTTGGGCCTAGGTCTCGTCTTTCTTTAGCAGTGCAACCTTTGGCAGGGGGCCTTAGTTTCTTATCTGTAAAATGGGCGCAAGCACTGCTCTGTTGGCTCCTTGAGACGATGTGTACGAAATAAAGTGAGGAAACCCTTGCAGAATTCTCTTTCCTCTCTCTCTCTCTCTCTCTCTCCCCCTCTCTCTCTCTCTTCCTCTCTCTCTCTCTCTCTCAATCTGGCAGATGCTCCCCTCCCCCAATCCAGATCTCACAGTGCTTGGAGCACAATTCCTTTTGTGGGGAGCAGGGAGAGGGGCAAGCTTGGGCTCAGGAGCAGAGGTGCGGGGGCCAGAATCCAGGCCCTCCTGTGCGCTTAGGGGACCCTGAATCTGATGCCTCTAGCTTCCTGGGGTACTCTGTCCCCAGGAAGCCCTGGGTGTGGCATCAGCCGTGCCATCACTACTAACCAGCTTTGACACCTCAGACTCACTTCCCCTTCTGTGAAATGGGAGTGAAGATCCAGTCTCAGGGGCAGGAACGCGGCTAGTCCTAAGGTGGAGACGAGGCATGGGGGCCTCTTGACGGGTGCAGGGACCCCTCACCTCATGACCCCTCCCCAGAAACTAATGATAGTCCCAACAGCCCTGCCTGGGGCTCACTGTCTACGCCAGGCCTTTGTAAGGCCCAAGGGAGGTGACACTGCCCCCACTTTACCAATGAGAAACTGAGGCTCAGAGAGAGGGGGGGGAAGTGGCTGTCCTCGCCGTCCCCTCCAGGAGGAGCCGCCTGATCTGTGGCGCTGGCTCCATGGCGGGCATGTAGTAGGGACTCCGTAAAGGCTCATTAGCTGGATGAATGAAGGAAGGAGCGAGGCAGAGTCCTCCTCAGCCCCAGCTCCTCCCCACATGCCGGGTGAGCCGGGTGGCTCTGGCCTCTAGGGTGGGAGCCCAGTTAGTCACAGCCTGGCCCATTCTCTGGGAGGCTTTTCTCTGCATACCACGGCTTGGCTCCCAGGGGAGGCCTCCCCCCTAATCCCGGAGGGCGGGCTGGGCGGGGCTACTCCTGCCTGGCACAGGGCCCCGGGGAGGGCGGGCCGGTCACGGAGTTCAGTATCTGGGTGCGCTCCCTCGGCCAGAGCTGGGCCCCCACCCCCAGTTCCAGCTCTGGTCACTTCTTTGGAGTCAGGAATGTACCACCAGCCCGTCTTCAAGCCCAACTCTGCCCCTTCCTGGCTGTGTGACCTCGGGCAGGTCGCCTCCCCCCCCAAGTCTGAGAGTCAGGCTCTAAAAACGGGGGGCAAAGAGAGTAGTCATGGACACGTCGTAGGTGTCAGAACAGAACCATCGGTCACTTGGCAGCAGTCATTATCAGCCTCCGAAATGACTGTCCATTCCTTCCTTGCCCGAGAACTCCCAGCTCTTGCTCTCTTTGAGTGTAATTCATACTAAGTTATGAGTGGTTGTCAGACTTCCTTTCCCCTCAAGTCTGTCTCACCCAGACCTCACTATGATCTGTGGTGTTTCTGGTGCTGTGTGACTGAGAAGGAGATTGAAGGGATTGTCACCCCATTACCGCAAGTCCCTTCATGAAGCAGCTGGGGGTGGGCAAAGGGCACTGGCTGGAGCAGTTTGGCGCTGTTTCAGGAAGTCCTCCGCAAGCGTCTGTCCAGAGGATGACAAGAGAATGAGCTGTGTTCTGGACCCTGACAGCCCTCCCCTCCACCCTTTAATAATTGTAGCTGACGAACTCCTACATATACTTCAATGCCCAGTTTAGTTACCCCTCCTCCAGGAAGCCTTCCCCACTTATTCTCCAGCTAATCTTTTGAGAACTCTAATCTATCAGAGAGGGCAAACCCTGCCCAGTTCTCCCATTTCCCGAGAGGGGACACCTGACACTGAGCCAGGGGCCTACCCTTGGCCGAGATCTCCCAGCCACGTCAGAGGCAGCAGTGGGGGGATTTGAACCAGACACCTCTAGATCTCCTCAGACTGTCTTCGGGCAGGAAAAGAGGGCCTGCGCGGTGCCTCTCTTCCCGGGCATGCCTCTCCCACTCTGCCCCCCACCCCTCCTTAGGGCCTCCCAAAGAGGAGCGAAGAGGAGCGAGTTACGAGTTGGTAACATTTCGGAGCAAGTTGGTAACATTTCTTCGTTTTCTCTCTGCAGCCCATGACCTCCCTGCAAATAAGGCCTCAGCCACCCAGCCGGGTAACCACTTGCAGTGCCTGTCTGTCCACTGCACAGACGACGTGGGCGATGCCAAGGCCCGAGCCTCCGTGCCCACCTGGCGGTCTCTGCACTCCGACATTTCCAACAGATTCGGGACTTTCGTGGCCGCCCTAACTTGAATTAGAAATGCCCCTCCCCTCCCAGGCCCTTTCCTCTCCCCTCCCCTCCCGCCCTGGGCCCCCTCCTCCCCAACCCACCCTCCTGTTGATTTGAAAGGGCCACTATTGCTGAGTGGATGATTTTTTTTTTCCTAGGTTGGTACCTGCTTAGTGGCATATGGACCGGAAAGGGTTAATTTAAAGGGGAAAAAAAAAAGCCTCAAAAAATTTTTTTAAAAAAGAAACTCGTCTGCCACAGTATGTTACCAGTGTTAACCCTTCTGCAGTTAGCAAACTTTTGCTTCAGCCTTTTTCCTGCTAGATAATTCCCGTTTTTCTGTAATCTTGGCATACGTTTTTAGATGACCTCTTTCCTTGTTTTATTTTCATGCTGCTGTATGCCCAAGTGTCGTTATTTCATAATAAGACAAGAGTTACTTTCTTTTTTATTCTCTTTTATTCTTCTTCCTCTCCCCACCACCATCCCCCCCCCGCCTTTTTTTTTTTTTTCTTTTTGCTTTGTTCACTGCTTATTAAAGTGGAAATCCTGGAGAATAGTAGTTCTGGAAGATTGCCGGGTGAAAGTCAAATTGTCATCACGATATTATATATTGACACCCAACTGTCACCAGTCAGACAGGAGCCAAACAATGAATGCCCCCCTTAGGTATTCTGCCCGGGGTTTTGTTTTGTCTGTTCCCTAAGAAAACAGAGAGAGAGATTATTTTCGTTCCTACAAACACACGCTCAGCTCAGCTCTGTTCTGTCTTCTGCCGGAAGCTGTCCTCCCTGCAACCGAGGTGGTGATGTGTCCAGCCCGCTCAGTGGGAAGGAGTCGGAATGTTCCACAGTGCTGTTTTCTCTCCTTTTCTGGGCCTCCGTGCAAACAGCCAGACTCTGAATTTTCACGCTATGCTAAGCAGCCCTCGTGTGCGTGGGGGATGGGTCCCTTCCAGCTTGCGAGTCTCTGTGGGCTCCTGGCTCGGCCCGGCTGGGGTCGTGGGTGCCCAGGTTAGGGGAGGATCACTTCCTAGCCCTTGACCTTTGCCGACAGCTGTTCCCATCCAGGCGTCGTGCGAGGAAGGAGGTGGGTATCTCCCTCACCTCTCCCATTCTGTCCCCACCTCCCCATCTATTTTTTTCCCCTCCAACCTGGGCAACCTCCCATTTTGCCAGGGCGATGAAGGAGCCCTCAGGCTCAGCCCGCCAAGCCCCCCCCCCCAACTTCTCTGAACATGAGTGTATTTTTCTGCAGGGGTTTGCAGGCTCCTGCGGTTTATAGGAAGGAAACAATGAATATAACCAATAACTTTGATTCCTGGGCCTTTTTCTGTAAGCCCAGAATACCCCCATCCCCACCTTTTGATTTAATCTCACCGTGTTGCAAAACGAGAGCCACGTCCCATGCACCTCGCCAAGAAATAATCTCTCAGAGCTAAGATGGTGGGGGGAGCGGGGGGGGGGGTGGCCAAGTGAGTGGCATCAGAGAGCGCGGCACCTGGACCTAGTCAAGGACCCAGAAGGGCAGTCACTGGAAGCCCAGGGTTAGCAGGCGGGCACCTTTGGCTGCTGTGGATGCCTGCGAAAGGCTTGTGTGACCTGGGGGGCTGTGGGGGTCACATGGATTCCAAGGTGGGCCAGACAAGAAGTGGCTGATAGCCCTTCCCCCAAATCAGTGTCTCCCCTATCTTACTTCCATTTTTCTTCCAGAGCAAGTCTTACTCAACGCTCTGTTTTGAGCCTTGCGCCCCCTCCCCTCTGCCCCCAGGTCCCCAGAGTTCACAGACCTGGCTTTTTTTTTTTTTTCCAGCAAGTGATCTGAAAGCTTGGGGCTCTCCATACAACACCCACATTGTTTATTTCAAAGAACTTTTCAGCCAAGGGAGAAGAGTGTCCTCTCGCTCTTTCCCCTCCCCCTCTTCTTCCCTGTGGTGGGGAGGGGGGCCCTTTTGGCTCGGATCTTGAGTCTGGAAGGTCTTTGCACAGGCTGTCTGATCAGAGGCCCCTGCCCAGCTGGCCCCCCACAGAAGGCAGGCAAAAGCAGGGCGTGTGAATTGATCAGCCAAGAGAGAGAAGGTAGAGAGAAGGTGTGAACTGGTTCTGGCCCCAGAGGAAAGGAAAAGCGAATGTCCCCCTTCCCTGGGCTGCAGGAGAATCAGCCACAGTGTGAGCCTCTAAAAGCTCTGCAACCCCTCTCATTCCGCCACGTACAACAGTTTGAAAGCTGCATCGTTTTATTGTATTTTTTAAACAGGGATGATTTCTCCTTAATTGCTTAAGGCCGGGGAGCCAAGCATCTTGACTTGCCGTGCGTTGAGTTCGTTAGCACCTGGCCATCAGCTCATGGTCCTCGATGTCGGAAACCCCTGAAGTTCTCAACTGCCTCGCTCCCCACGACCCCAGAATGGAACAGCTTTAAAAATAGCCTTAAGCAAAAGGATGTTATTTCATTAAATTTGGTTTAATGGAAAGAATCAAAGCAAATTAAAAACACACCCAAACCATGAGACTCCAAACACTGGTAATCGGTACTGCATAGCAAACTTCTTTTCGGGGGGAAAGGAAACGAAAACGTTATTGCACATGTAAAATAGGAAATCTTAACTCTACTGTGTGCTAGGCAATCCTGTAATCTTTTTTGACTCTTAAAAGAAATTCATTTCTGAAATGCTTGGTTGGAAGACTGTGACAATAGCTCATGAAATTGAGTGTTATTTTTTTCTTTCTTTTTTAAAAAAATATGTAAAGTGCAGTCTTCTGTATTCATGCATATTGTATATACCTGTATATGTTTTCCTGAGCAGCTAAATAACAATAAATATGACGTTAATGGTGACTGCGGAACGTTTGTGGGCGGGGCCTTGCTTGCTTCTCTCCGCCCCCTCCCGTTTCCATAGGTCTGTTCCAATCAAGTTCCGTGGGGGGATGGAGTGCAGGTCAGGGTGCTGCGGGGCGTGTGTGCACGCGTGTGTGTGTGTGTGCGTGCATGTGTGGGTGTGGGCATGCGTGTGTTGGTGCTATTCTAAGTTGGGTCATCTCTGAGTTTCTGAGCCCGGGCACTACTGATTCTTGGGCTGGATAATTCTTCAGGGTGGGGTTGTCCTGTTTAGCAGTATCCCTGACCGCCACCCACTGGAGGCCCGCAGAACCTCTTCCCTCCCTCTGTCCCCATCAACCCCCAAAACATGCCCAGACGTTGCCCCATGGTCCCCTGGGACCGAGGACCCCTGGTATCTGATGAGTGCGGGAGGGAAGGGGCAAGGAGAGACCACCCAAGTGGCTTTCCTGTGGTTATTCTTTGGGGTCCCAGTCTTGAATTCGGGTCCCAGGAAGCTTTGGAGACTCCCACTTCCTCTTCTTCCTCATCTATGAAGTGGGTCGAACTTGTGGAGTTCCAGGAGAGGACGCATGTGGACCCAGCAGGTGGGAGGGCTCCCGGTGCATCAGTGCCTTGCGTCGCCTTCAGAGCGGGCACAGCCGACAGCGTTTTGGGGTCGGGCAGTCCTGGGCTAACAACCGTGGGCTGTGGGCAAGTGGTTTAAACCTGGCCTCCACTTTCTTGTCTCAGAAATGGAGCAAACACCAGCTTGAAGGTTACCACGTGCACCAGCCCCATTCCAGGCCGCCCTGTGGGCAGCAGCTTCATTCTGGTACCTGCAGCCTCAGACTCTAGGTCATTGCAAAACATTAGTTTGCAAAAGGGGGTGGGGTGGGGTGGAGAGAGAGTAAATTGACAGTTAAAAGTGAAATATGCCCAATCGCCCATGGCAGTATTAGGGATGAAAGTCTCTCTGTGAGATTCATGACTCCCATGTGGGGGGTTCAGGGAGGGTTTCCTTCAGCAGGTTATGTCCAGACAGGGTTTTGAAGGGTGAATAGGAGTTCGTCTTATTCACCCCAGCATATAAATTGACCCTAATTGGGCAGAAACTTTGTTGTACTTCTTCCTTTCATCTTTTCAAAGTTTCTTTATATATGCAAAGGCACATTTGTCAGAATATAGAGTTTTAAGGACAAGGTCCGTATATCCACTTTAATGTGGAGAAGCTTAAAAATCTCTCTAACCTTTAAAGGTCTCCTGCTCAAAGTGACAGTGGTCTATGACTGCGTTCAGTGCCCAAGGAAGGGAAGAGATATGACAGAATGATGCACATTGGGTACGGGCACTGGGGGGACATCAGGTTGGTGTGAAATGAATGAGGGGCTGAATACGCTGCTGTCACAGAAGGCCCCAGAACCTGAGAACCATGGACTGTGCATCATTGGGGGTGGGGTGGGAACATGTGAGGTGGGGGCTGCCACATGGGGGTGCATGTTGGCCCCTGGGGGGGCCAGGGGAGGGCTCTAGGGAAGGGTGCAGTTGCAGGTTGACCGACCGAGAAACACCGTCTTACCCAGAGGCCCCACCACACACCTTCTCCTCCCAGCGCTGACCATTCCAGAGCAGCCATCTCAAGGGGGGATAGAGAGGCGCCCGGGGGGCTCAGGCTTACGCATCTGACTCTTGATTTCGACTCAGGTCGTGATGTCAGGGTATGTGGCTGGGGGTGCAGAGCCTGCTTGGGATTCTCTCTCTCCGTCTGTCCCTCCCCCACTCACACTCGTGCTCTCTCTGTCTCCCTCTCTCTCAAAATAAATAAATAAACATTAAAAAAAAAAAAGGAGAGAGAGAAGGGATGGGGGAGGATTTGGGTGGACGCTCTGCTCTGGGAGCGCTGAGGGGAAGTGCAAGGAAGGATGCTCCATCAGGCTTTCTCCTTATACGAAAGTAGGAAAGACTCCAGGAGCAGAGTGAACCATGCATTTCCCTAACGGACAAGGGGGTGGGCAGGGAGGAGCCCACCGGGAGCGTCACAGCTGAGTCACAGCAGAGATGGAGGGTGTGGGAGATGTAGGCTGAGGCCCCCAGGCGGGGCTGGCCTGATGCGGAAGCCACTGCAGACAAATACCAAGTTCTGCATTTGTCACACAGCCTCACCGGGTTTTCAGGAACCCTGGAAAAAAAGTTTTTATTAAGAGAAAATGATTTTAAATATTTAAAAAATTTTTTTTATTAATTTCTGGGAGAGAGAGAGAGAGCAGGGGAGGGACAAAGAGAGAGGGAGACACAGAATCTGAAACATGCTCCAGGCTCTGAGCTAGCTGTCAGCACAGAGCCCGACGCAGGGCTCAAACCCACGAACTGTGAGATCATGACCTGAGCCAAAGTCGGATGCTTAACCAACTGAGCCATCCAGGCGCCCCTTAAATATTTATTTTGAGAGAGAGAGAGAGAGCAGAGAGGAAGAATCCTAACAGGCTCCACTCTTAGCCCTGAGCCTGATGCCGGGCTGGATCTCACAACCATGAGATCAGGACCTGAGTCCAAATCAAGAGTCAGACGCTTAACTGACTGAGCCAACCAGGCGCCCCCTAAATGATTTAAAGTGTATGTACTTGTGATTATGAAATTCCAATTACCCCTCCTTCTAGCCCCTGGCAGCCAGGAATGTACTTTCTGTCTTTATGGCTTTGCCAATTCTAGACATTTCAGATCAGCGGAATCGTGCAATGGGTGGTCCTTGGGGACTGGCTTCTCTCCCTTGGTCTGAGGGTCTCGGGTTTTCACCTTGGCTAAATACTATTCTGCTCTGTGAATATGGCACATTTTTATCTAGCCACCAGTTGATGGGCATTGGGGTTATTCACAGTTTTTGGCCATTGTACGTATATTGCTGTGAACCTTCAGGTAGAAGTTTCTCCCGGACCATGTTTTCGGTTCTCCTGGGTGTACACCCCGGTGCGGAATCACCCGGTCTCATGGTGACCCGGCAGTTAACTTTTTGAGGGGCCACCAGCCTGCTTTCTGAGCAGCTGCACCATTTTACATCCTAGAAGGGGATTTTTGTTTGTTTCTTTAACCCATTGTTTATCACATTTTAAAAAACGAAGGTGTAATCTGTATACAATGAAACACATGGATCTTGTGTATAATTTGATGCAATTTCACAAATGTCTACACCTTTGTAATCCAAACCAAGATCATAGGACAGGACAGACCCCCCTCCCCCCCGCCAGAAGGCTCCCTCCTGCCCTTTCCAGTGAACAGCCCACCCCTCGAACAACAATGGGTCGAACTTCTTGTTTTTTACTTTTTTATTAATTTTGTTTCTTAGTGTTTATTTATTCTTGAGAGAGAGCATGAGCAGGGGAGGGTCAGAGAGAGAGGGAGACACAGAATCTGAGGCAGGCTCCAGGCTCTGAGCTGTCAGCACGGAGCCCAACGTGGGGCTTGAACCCACGAACCGTGAGATCATGACCTGAGCCGAAGTCAGAGGCTTATTAACCGACTGAGCCCCCCAGGCGCACCTTTAGGGTCAGGCTTCTATTACCATTGATTAGCTTTGCTTATTCTTGTGTTTTGATGTCCTACAAATGGAAGCAGTCTGTGTCCTCATTTACCTATTGATACACATTTGTTTCCAGTTATCAGTTACTAGGAAGAAAAATACCACTGAACATTTGTGTACAAACCTTTGTGTGGACTCAGGCTTTTATTTTTCTGGAATGCCTGGACCATATTGCAGGTGCATACTTCCCTTCTTAAAATACCAAACTGGAGGCCCTGGGTGACTCAGTCGGTTAAGGGTCTGACTCTTGATTTCGGCTCAGGTCATGATCTCATGGTTTGTGAGATCAAGCCCCCCGTTGGGCTCTGCACAGCGTGTTGCCTGCTTGAGATTCTCCCTCCCCCCCAACCCTGTCTCTCCGCTGTTTGTATGCAATCTTTCACTCTCTCTCAAAATAAATAAATAAGCTTAAAAAAAAAAAGAAGCCACTGTACCATTTTTCAAAATTGTCCTGCTTTTTAATCCCAGTGACAACGTGCGGGAGTTCCAGTGCTTCCTAATACCCTTGCCAACGCTCAACAGTATCTGTCCTTTTAAACGTCAGCCAATCTAACGTGGCTGTAGTGACATCTTAGCGTGGATGTAATATCTATTTCCCTAATGATGTTGAGTATACGTTCACGTATTTATTGGCTATCAGTGAAATATCTCTTAAAATCTGTGGCCCTTTTGGGGCGCCGGGTGGCTTAGTCGGTTAAGTGTCCGACTTTGCTTAGGTCATGATCTCACGGTTCGTGGGTTCGAGCCCCGCGTCGGGCTCTGTGCTGACTGCCAGCTCAGAGCCTGGAGCCTGTTTCAGAGTCTGTGACTCCCTCTCTCTCTAACCCTCCCCTGCTCACGCTGTCTCTCTCTCTCTCAGAAGTAAATAAAGCATTAAAAATGAAAAAAAAAATCTTTGGCCCTTTTTTTTTTTTTAATCTGGTCGGGTGTCTTTTCATCATGGCCTAATCCAAGCCCCTTCTCTGTGTGTTGGAAACATTTTCGCCCAGTCTGCGGCCTTTTGTCATGATCTTCTTAAGGCCGGGGCTTAACACTTCACCAGCCAGTCCACGGTATCAAGTCTCTCTTACGGCAAGAGCTGTGACCTCCCCCAGGGGCATGCTTGTCCCCCGGCACCTTGATGGTCTTACGCTCTGCTTTCGATGGCACATTTTGCTTTAGGTTTGAGGCAAAGGGAAGGGCTCTGTTTCCAGAATGTCCATGTCCCGTAGCCTCGCTGAGAGAGCCTTCTCGTCCCTTCGTTAGATGGGAGACTGCTAAGCCATCTTGGGTGGAAGTCATTTGACTGTGTGTGGGGGGCTCTATTTTTGCACACTCTGTGCTGTTTGTCTGCCTTTCGGCCACATTTGAAGCTGGGGTCACATGGAAATCGGGGCGTGCTTCCTCTGAAGAGTGGAACAGAATAGAGGGGTTCTGGGGGAAAGGCCCCAGCGTGTCCTACTATAAC